GACGTGACCCGTCTCTCATTTGTGGTCTCTGTGGTCTGAGGAACCAGTCCAGAATGATTGGGTTCAGTTACGGCCAGACCTCTCCTGACCGCTAGAACGAGAGAAGACTGTTATCATCAGCAGAGACTGAAACCTGCAGTCACTCAGTAGTTTAACTAGTTAGGTTTTTTTTGCATTTTGCCTAAGTAACATTTTCTAAGTTTGAACACATGGAAAGCTAATATTACACCTCCCATTACTTTGAGGAATCATGCACAATCAGAAAAGCACAAAAACTAAAAATTATGAACTATATGCATCAATATATCACCATGCACTCATAAAGCAGCATGCAGTTGAGCTCAGCAGATTGTCCAGTAGGTGGCGCTCTTGTCCTGGTCATGACATCTGGATGCTGTCCTTCAGTGCATGTGGTAACTGGGTTCAGCCAAGCTCTTAAACTTTATCTGTGTGTAAAATATCTCATGAAAATATTATTTCACAGTGTCAGCAATGTATTACGTGAATTCTGAACAAAAGAAGACCGATGGGCAGCGCTTCAACAGGCACGCAGTGTTTTATGAGTATTAATTAAACTTTCAACAAGCAGTTTAGCTGCTCTCGAAGACAAAGTCTGAAGGTTTTCCAAGTCAACTGTGCTGCTGGGTTGATTTTGTTCTCATAAACACAAATGAAAGTGTCTGCACTACTAGACGGTTATCACTCAAATAAGAAGTGACCAACAAATGACCGCTGCTGTCTTTTATGTGACTTAAAGATCAGTTAACTGCTTGAGCATGATTTAATGCTATCAGTAAATACACTTTTCCTAATAAACCGGCAGTCCAGTATAATGTTTTAATTTACATCTGGAACCTGTACAGACAGTCATCTTAATTTTATACAAATAAAAAAATGTATAAATAATATATTTAAAAAATAATAATACATAATAAATAACGGTCCAGATGTACACTAATACAATACTTTTCATCTTAATCTTTTATACTTAAATTTTAGAGAACATTTTAGAAATTGTATATATAACGTGTGAGTATTATTATTATTGTTGTTTATATATGAATTGACCAATTATTAACGCAACCATTATTAGATATAGAAATATACATTATTGTATTTATAATTGTGTAATATTTTAATAATAGCTTTATTATACTAAAATATAAAACATAAAAATATTATTATAACATGAGATAATGTAATAATAACATAGTATTTTTAATATATATATATATATATATAATCCTATTTTTTTATACTTAAATCACTTTGAAGATTGCATATCATTTCTGGGTGTGTGTGCATTGAAATAATATTACAAAATAATGTATTTAATATAATAATTATTAGATATAAATATATATTATTGTAATCATAATTAATTTTTATATTTTTTATTAAGTGAATAATTTATTACATATATTTTCCGTAATTTTTGTAATGCATGCATGGTTTTTATTGCTTTATTGTTTTTTTCCCCCTATACCCGTATTTCTGTTGGTCATTTATAAGACATATTCACTGCTGTGAATCCAAATACAATTTTCTACATTGTGGACAACAGTTCCTAGATGAAATAAACACAACTATAGGCACTACATGAATTCTGAAGGAATACAAAGTCTTGAAAATCAGCACATTCAGAAACGCTGGACTGGTTAACTGACCCGGAGGACCACAAGCATACAAACAAGCAGTAATCAGCATTCTGATACAAGCAGCCGCAAGCCAGCACCGGCAGTGAAAGCACAGTCAAAGCCTCAACACAGCTGTAAAATAGACTTAAAACTACTTAATGGAAGTGTTAGCCTCAAAATGACATTCCCCATTTCGGGAATAACATAGTCGGTGCGGAGGAAGGCCGTTGATCTGTGTGGTCTCCTCACAGGGCAACGTTTGGGTTAGTCGAGAGGGTCTGAGGCGAATGCTGGAGGCTGCTGGTCTCTCACACACACACACACACACACACACACACAGTTTTCCTTGAGCTGTGCTTCCAGGAGTGGAAAAGCGTCTGCATAGAGACGCATAGATTTGCGTCTGTCTGTACGGCGTCCTCCTCTGCCAGCTCTGGCAGATTTACCAGGTTTAATGGTGTAAATCACCTCCATCGCACTCCCCTGATTTGAATATCTGAAAATAACGTCTGCGTTGTAATGGATCTTCAATATGTTCACACTATTTTATGGCGGCGTTTGGAAGGCGTGCGTGTTTTTTTGCGAGACGTGTCTTGACGTATAGGTAGATGAAATGAATACAACTCACTCACGGGACATGTGGACTCCGAGATGTAAAAAACACGCTGGCTTCGAATGTAAACATGTGAAAACATATATTTGTTCTGATATGAAATATGCTGAGTCTACATGGCTTGAACTCTCATTGTGGGTATTTAAGAAAACAGCGTCTTAAAATAGGCCTACTCTCTCGGTGTTTCTGCTGAAGTCATCAGCGCTGGGAAAGCGCGAGTTTCTCTTGCCATTAATAATTACTGAGATGTAGATCTAATAGAGTTTATCTGCAGTCACTGTAACTGCATTAAGCAGGAAAAAGGTCAAAGGCCAAAGCATGTCCCTAACACATGAGCTTTTCACACTTGATATGGTCTTTTAGCTTTAAGCTCATCTGTATGATAGCATAATCATAACAATTGACAAATCTCACTTTTTGCTGATATTCAGTTAAAATGAATAAAATCTCACGTATGTGATGATGAGAGGTTCTGATGTTAACGGGTGGAGGGAGAGTGAGTTTGGCCTCATCCATCAGATCTCGAGAGGCCTGAAGAGTCCGAGTTACAGCAGCGACATGAGCATGCACTACATTACATTTACAGAGACGCTTTACGAAAAGTGTTGTTGTAGAGATGCTTTATAGCTGAATCGAATCATTTCATAACAGAAACACGACGACAGCATTCACTGTTCTTGTTTATTTATTTATATAGCACCATTTAAAACACAACCGAGGTTGAACCAAAGTGCTTTACATAAAAAGTACAAGAATAGAAACAAACATAGACAAAGTGTAATGTGTAATGAAGCCTATTAGAATTCAGTTAGAATGCCCATATAATTCAAGTTATGAAAGCAAAAAACAAAACAAAAGAAAAAATCTTGTATGGGTTTTAGTTTTTTATGTTTATAGTAGAGTAATAGCACACAAGCAAGAGTACTGCAGTTTTCCCGAATATTATTAGCACGTGATCGCAAATGTGATAAGCCTATTGGTTTTGACTACAACAGTTAAACAAACTAAAAGTTAGTAATAATGAATTACATTTTAGACACAATATTGTCTGTTTTTTTGTTGGTTTTGCCAAACAGAAATAGTTCCAAACAAAGCCATTTGTGCGTCTCAACAGCAACTGAATGAATCTGTTTTGGAACAAATCATTTGAGTCAACGATGCAATGATACATTCATCCAGTCACTGGCTGTGTTTCTAAATGAATCAGAAGTTTTGAATGAAACATTTGAATGAATGATTCATCACATTTAGACAGGGACTTGGCTCCACCTACTGGCAGTTTTAGTCAAATTTATTTTTCACGTCAGGCCTAAACCAGCCTAAGTACCAGCACAATAACACACTTAGCAAAATATCTTTTAATTATCGTTATTGAAAAACTCACAAAAATATTGATATCATTTTTGCCAATATCGCACACCCCAAGAGTTTTTCTTGGACACAAATCACTCACATTATCCTCAAACAATCTCATTAACAACTGTTTTAAAACTAGAATGATGCTGAAGATGCTTTTGGACATTTTTTTGTTCTCTGGTGAGTAACAGTGTTGAATCACGCTGTGTCACAAACGGATGCAACGTTAATCTGCTGCTTCAGAGGAGGTCAGTAAACCAGGAGAAAACTCCCGAATGATTCACGTCACTTACTCGGATTCATCTTACAGTTCATTTTAAACATCTACAGCGGAGTAATTCCATTTTCATACCAATGTTTAATGAGGAACATTTCAGCATTATAATTAATGCAGTGTGTTGTTTGTTCCTTTGATGTTCAGACTAGAGGAATTATCACACATGCTTCAGAAGAATCATGTTAATGAATGCTCTTCTGCGAAAAAAAAACGTGAACAATCTATTAATATCCATTTCAGATGTGGTTGGAATAAAATACAAATAAACATCCTCATAAACTGACAAACATCTAAATACATACTCTGTTCAATTACAAATTAGAGTTATGCAATTCTAATTCACAAACTGTAACTTGTAAAGTTGGAACATTTTAGTTCATCATGACCTGTTTGCATGCACGCGCACACACACTCACACACACAGAGTTCAAATAAATATATATATTTTTATATTTATATATATTATAATATATATTCTTAATACAAAATGTTCAAATAATAAATACAAAAATATTTTTATATATTAATATTTTTTATTAATTTAATAATTAATTATTTTAATTATTTCAATTTAATATATACATACACTACCAGTCAAAAGTATTTGAACAGTAAGATTTTTTATGTTTTTTAAAGAAGTCTCTTCTGCTCACCAAGCCTGCATTTATTTGATCCAAAGTACAGCAAAAACAGTACAATTTTTGAAATATTTTTACTATTTAAAATAATTAATAATAATAAAATAAATCGTTTTCTATATGAATATATTTTAAAATGTAATTTATTCCTGTGATTTTAAAGCTGGATTTTTAGCATCATTTAATTTTTATAGATTTTTTTAAATTAAACATATTTAATAATTAAAATATTTTAATTATTTAATTGAATTTATATATTTTATTTAAAACTACAAATATTTTTAAATATTTTATTTAATTATTTTAATTGATTTTAAACAAAATTATAATACAATAATTAATAGAAATAATAATATAATAATTATTTTTTTTTATATATTTTTAATTTTACATAATATATTTATCCAATGTATATATTTAGTTGTATTTAATTTTTAGACTTATATTTTTCAAATAATAAATGAAAAATAAACATTACATATATTGCTTTATAAAGTGAACACGTGTAAAATGCAAACAGCGTTAGACGGTTTGCTATGCAAACTCGAGCTGCACGTTACGCTCCTCGCAGACTAGTTAATCTACTGAAGGAGTTCTCAACATCACTGTAAACACGGCCTGCCCCGGGACCACCTGTTTAAAGGAACAGAGGGTTGCTGAAGGTTTTTTTAGGCTGTGGGCTGTTTCTTGTCAAGCATCAAGACACCCAGGTGCTCAGTGCTGTATTTGTGCTCTGGGCTTTTGGACGCGGCTACGGTTCAGTTTGACAAACGACTTTGCGGAGGTGTCAAATATCGAGAAGCCGTTTCAAATGCCAAGCTAAGCAAAAATTCTCCTTCTTTCTGAAGAAAAGGTATGCTGTTCCATCTTGGCTGTTATTTTCGTATAATTAGTCAGGCTGCGGATGAACAAACATATTCTTTGCCCCACATGCTTTGATAGTACTGGCTAGCTCGCGGCTGCGTTCATTAGCGTGAGAACGACACGCTATTATTATACATCTCACTTCTTTGTTCATTTAGCAATTAGCCATGTCCACATGTTGCGTATTTTTACAAACCACTGATCCTTAAAACGAAATCAGTACTAAAGCCATTTCTTTGTTAGTTTCCAAAAGCTTTATAAAGGACAGTATATATAATAATCACCTTTCACGCTACTTCGACTTCGCAAACACAATCAAATTACACTCATCCAGGTTTAACATGTTAAATAACGGGCAGCTTATTGCATGATAATGTTATGGAAACATTATATCAATATGAAGACTTCCCGAGAATTCGCTGGAATTCAATTATGTGGTAATGGCAAGTTAGATCAAATCATACAGTAAGTTATATTTGGATACCTATGCGGACTCTGATTACAATCAGAATATTAAATATGAAATTACTCTCATGGATAATCAAAATAAAGCTTTTCCAAAGACATCAGTCTGGTTGTTAATTAAAAATGCCATCAATATAGGCTATGGGCTATATATATATTGGTCATCGGAAATTTGACGCTGATATGGACAAGCATCCCATAATGCACCGGGCTCTTCGTCCTGGTCAGACTGTTCTCTGTGTTCATATCCACAGAGTCTGTTCTGCTCTGAGATCCTTATCAATCAGAGCTCAGTGAAAGACGACTTTATTCAATAACTTCGGTGTAAATCGCTCCAATATCTATTGGCCACATCACTCCAAAACAGAGAGAAGGTATTTTAAAAGCCTGTTCTCATCCGTGACCCATTGAGAGCACTGGACATGTTTATTAGACAGGTCACGTGACCCTCCGTCACACCGTGTTTGGCTCTAAATGAAGAATCCTCCATAGGGACTCTGTCCTGCCTTAGACGAGAAACATGCAGTATGCAAATGTAGAATGCTTTATGCACATGCTGTAAATAATTATCATGCATTGCATTTTTGCAGTAGGCCTACTTATGAATGCAACAACACATTAAATCAAACTAGTGCAGCTAAAAGCTCTGCTCAGGTTTGATACGTGACAGCGAGACCCGGCGCGCCTGGAACCCGAGGATCGTGAACTCTGCTGGGACGCGACACGCCAGACCTGTGAAAATCCAGACACCTGCTCAGGAAGCCTCTCCTTCTGCCAGTTGATTTAGCCACTGAGGTGTGAATATCCAGTCGTCTGCAGTCATTGCGTTCCTCTACGCGAGTCACTTATGGGAAACTCACACAAACGTTGGGAAGAAGCGGCCGGGGGAAAGCGATTGTGCTGAGTGAGAAAAGCCGCCCCTTTTCAAGAAGTTACACATTTTACGAGCCCTTCGCAGCTTTCCCAAGCGGCTTTCTGCCCCACTTCGAGACTCCATATTAGTCAATAACTTTCCTGATGATTTATGAGGCTGTTGCAAGAATCTGCTTTGTGTTTCAGACATTTAAAGACACTAGTCATAATCATGGCCACAACAACATCAAATGGAAATGTTCGAGAAATGACATTGCTCACTTCGTTTTGAGAAAGAGCACTAACGCTGGATCTAGACGATCAGATGATTGCAATGACTTCATGGCATCGTGACGCTCCCGATTCAACGGGCCAGACGCAACCGGAGCCGACGTTCATCATCATTTCTTCCCCGTGTGCAGTCGGACAGAAGTTCATAGGATGTCTTAATACAACAACTGATTTGTAATCAGAATGAAAACTGACCTGCGCATAACGTGCGGTTATTATCTGGCAGGCTGTGCGAATCGGTGACGTCCGAGGCTAACGGGAGCCACGGAGTCTGCTGAACATGGAAACGGATGAAGCTCATGGTGAGACTTGGTGCACTTGAGCGCAGCCTAATAAAAGTCTGGTGCAGGAAGCGCTGCGTTCATTACTCAAAGCCTTTATTGGGTCCCTGATGGAGCGCATCCAGATCTGGGATTTCAGTTCGTCTCTGCAGTCCAAACACTCTGAACTGACAGCCCTGAAAAAGAACAGAAAAAAATGAAACACACATCCATTAGGAAATATTTTGGCGGAGATGGTCTTTCTCCAACCATCTAAACGGCCAAGTTAATTTCCCTTGGTTTGAACAAACGCTGACCCTAAAGTGTTAAAGTTTGGCATGCAACATGTCTGTATCTCAAACTGTGCGACTTTTTGAGGAATTCATTTAATGACCGACAGAGAAATGTATATGTAATATATATTTGGGGCAGATTTTTAATACTGTTACTCAGCAAAGATGCATTAAATTAATCAAAAGTGACAGTAAAGACGTTTATTATGTTGCAAAAGGTTTCAATTTCAAATAATTGCTGTTCTTTTGAACTTTCAATTCATCAAAGAATCCTGAAAGTATCCCAGTTTCCACAAAAACATGAAGCAGCACAACTGTTTTCAACACTGATAATAATCAGAAATGCTTCTTGAGCAGCAAATCATGTGACACTGAAGACTGGAGAAATGATTCTGAAAATTCAGTTTTGCATCACAGGAATAAATTACATTTTAACATATATTTAAATAGAAAACAGTTATTTGAAATTGTAATAATATTTCACAATTTTACTGTTTTTACTGGATCGTTTGATCAGTAAAAACAAAGACAGAAAGATCTGTAGTGAAAATTCTAATTATACTTCATTCTTAGTAATTGCAAACATCTGAAAACCATTACTTGGGTGGATTTTAGAGTTTTGGGAGGGATGGCTGGATAAAAATGTTTCTAAAAATGAATAAAAGATGTAGAGAGCAGAAGAGAGATGCTTTCTGCATTCTTCCCCGTTTCAAAACAACAATTACACTGTCTCTACTGGAGTCTCCAGCTAAAGATTTTTATGTGAAATACTGTCTGTTTGCTGCAGGACACAGGAAACATTCCTCATTTCACATAGTGTCTAATAAATCAAACGGCCAATCGCTGCGATCACGACCTCTCCCTGCTCAGAAAGACAGACACTGAGCTTTTGAAGAGTGTCAGACCTCCCAAAAAATTACTGTCTCCAATTTTATAGCCGCCGCCGTCTGTATGACAACACGGTCCCGATCAGAGACACTGAGCGCTTATGACAGACCCCCGTTTGAATAGAGCAGATATTCGTGGAACGAGAAAAATGCTATTAAAATAGCTGAATGTAATTAGGATACAGTTTAATGTTTAATGTCTTGTATTCTGGCGACGACAAAATGCAAAGATCCTTCCAGACGAAATGAATCTAATCAGTAACTCAAGACTGCATTCAATTATCACAACATCATCCAGGGCCGAGGAATAAAACTCTAACGGGACCTTTAATAACGTGCAGAGGAAATTGCACATTATCTGATACACTGCTGGGATGCTTTCAGACATGTGCTGGCATGTTCTATGATTATTGTTTGTATTCAGTTACAGATATACTGACTAGAAAGATGATCATTGGAAACATGCATTAGATAAAATCCATCATGCACTTTGACGACAAAGCGTTTGCGAATCACATCTGAGATTAGATATCCCATCTATACTAACAAATAAAAGCAGTTCGTTAAAGAAGATCAGCTGTAGGTAATTGAAAGCGTTAGAGGAATCGTGTCACATTTACTCACCATCATGTCATTTCTAACTCGTACAGCTTTCCATTTTCTGTGCAACTCAGAAGGAGATGTTTGGAAGATGTTGCTCTTTTCCCTACAATGTAAATGGAGATTTCAGAGCTGTGACAGAAGATTTTCATGCAATATCGAATTCGATTTCATTCACACAAAGCACATGGCTTCAGCAGACCTGGAATACAGTGCATTTGATTAGACCGCTGTTGTATAATGTTTCTATGATGCTTGATAACCTCAGATTCTTTAATATGCTTTTATAGCAGTTTTAATATATAAAAACAAATGCATACTATATAAAAATGAAAGCATGTTGAATGCAAAAATATATGCATATAAAAATGGGTTTGCTGAGGAAAGGGGCAGTGTTGAGCAGTGTTTAATCTATAAGGAACAAGAATACATTCTTTAAAGGAGAAGACCGTTCTAAATATAAAAAAATGACTAAGGTAAAGTAAGGGGTGTTTGATGTGTTTTTCTTTAACACACATTTAGCAGTAAAATCAAGATCCATTTACTTGAGAAGCAAAATGACTTATCATATTGAGTCTTTGTTTTCTGAAAAAAACTTGATTTAAATCTAAGTGCGTTTATGCTTGAAACAAGAAATTGGGGTCTGAAAAATAAACTTAATTCAAAGGGAAAACAAGTTAATTTTTTCTTAACCCATTGACATTTTTTTGATTTTGATCATTTAATTCATTTAATTTTTTTTAGAAAACAAGACTTAATATCTGAAGCTATTTTCTTTCTCAAGTTAATGTATGTTTAAGAATTTTAAAATATTTGTCATTTTTTTAATACTGGAAAACAAGGCAAAAATACATTTATTTTTGCAGTGTAAAAAACTAATGTGCAAAACTGAGACATGATCCATATATTCCCAAAAAACTCAAACACATTTAGTGATGCATATCAAACAGATCCCCAGGTTTCAGTCTTTGGTCAGGAACATAATGGGATTAAAGGTGATTAAATGTACCTGAGTCAGAAAGCAGGTGCTCAGAGCTTAGGTTTCTCATGTGCAGCGGTTTATTTTCACAGCTCTGCTGTGACATTTTCTTTCTGTCACGTCTGTCAGCTCTCATTAGAGCGCGGCCGCTGCCACTGTGCTGGCGTCTGCGAGTGGCCCACTGTAAACTGATCACGCTCACGGCCTGAAACGAACAAAGATCCAGTGATGCATGTCTTTTATCACTCTGGGCTGCTCAATGCTTCAATTATGTGAGCACACGCATGCAGCGAGACTCCGAGCACTCAGATTGAACAGTTTACATAACACTCATGTTCCCCTTCACAAGGCACACAGCTCACACGTGACAAACTGCACAGCGCATGCAGGCTGGCCATGTTAATTGATGATAACGTACATTCTGGTTAACACTTTCTAAGCGGCCTGCAGCTTTTTGTAAATAATTATATGCACACTTACGGTACTCATGGGCATCAACAAGAAATTGAAGTACAAAACTCCAGATCTTACTGTGCAGGAAAAACTTCAGAAACAACTGTTTGTGAATGTTTGAAGACTTAAAAGGAATGGTTCACACAATAATGACAATTTGCTGAAATTGTACTCACCCTCAGGCCATCCCAAATGCAGATGAGTTTGTTTCTTCATCAGATTTGGAGACATTTAGCATTCCATCACTTGCTCACCAATGGATCCTCTGTAGTGAATGGGTGCCATCGCTCCTGGCCAAAATATGAGTTCATAATCCATAATAACGCTTCCTCCACTAAAAAAAAATCCATCTCTTATGGTCCTCTCACATTAAAATCCAACCACATATTTGTTTAGAGCTGTTTTGGCTTGTAAATGGTTCTTGATCTGTGCAGCTTTCTCTCCTTATTCAGACGAGATGACCTTTTCACTGGAGAAAACAATATTATGGATAGAGGACCTGATTTTAAATGGAAACAATGGTTTGAAATTAAAAACATCTTGATGATGGATTTGTTTCAGCTTTTGTCTTCTCCAGATGTTAACTGATGGACTGGAGTGGTGTGGATTACTTGTGGATTATTGTGATGTTTTTATCAGCTGTTTGGACTCTCATTCTGATGGCACCCATTCACTGCAGAGCATCCATTGGTGAGCAAGTGATGGAATGCTACATTTCTCCAAATCTGATGAAGAAACAAACTCATCTACATCTTGGATGACCTGAGGGTGAGTAAATTTTCAGCAAATATAAATTTTTGGGTAAACTATTTCTTTCCAAACATATTGCATTAAAACAAACTGTGTTGAGCATGCATTATGATTAAAGCTGATGATATTAAAGCTTTAAATAGGCCTATGCATTATGATTTATTATAAATGAACATTCATGTTCAAGTTAAACATGGCTGCTGTAATTTCATGTTTATTCTCATTTGACAGTAAAAGCTCACACTGTCGCTGAACTGTGGATGCTAGAAAACAGGTCTGAACGTCTGTTAATATAATACATCTGGCAGAAATGTATGAATAATAAACAGTTGTTCAACATACCACTACACTGCAAACACACAATATAGCAGAGAAGAGCAGAGCCATGCTTTATTGACTTTAAATAACGGGTTTTGCTTCGTTTTACTTGCGGTTGATAACCATAAACGCTTCAGGTTTGGGATATAAAGGATCTGCTTTGCTTGTTGGCGCTCGAATGGTTGAAAGGTTTACAGAATAAATGTAATTTGGGAACGGGTAACATGATGTAAAGCAGGTGTTTATGATTTCATATTCATAAACAAGCAATAATTCTTCAGTCTAAATTCTCCAGTGGAGCTTCCTGAAAAGATTGTATTACTACAGTAAACACATTTGCTCATTACATCTTTAATGTTCTGTGAAGCCTGTATCATGTATTCTAATCAGATGCTAACAGAAATAATTGCAACCACAGATATAATATACTCTACACTCAATACATACTTAAGTCAAGATACATTTACTTGAGAAGCAAAATAACTTCAGAGGCCATTAGGTATTGTTTTCTGAAAAATGTGTCAAAATTCAGATAGAAAAAAATCTGTCAATGGGGTTTTCTTCTTGAGATTAAACTCGCTTAATTTTCAAGACATTAATTTTTCATGTTATCCAATATTTATGCTGGAAATCTAGACAAAAATGCTCGGCAAGAAAAATATTTTTGAGACTAGATTATTTTTTCGCATTTGAAGAATAAGCATGTATAAAGCATAATAACAACAAGCATAATGTACTATAATCAGACGTTGTCATAAATAATTGCAACCACACAGAGGGGTCATGCCCATTCAAAGTGACACCAAGAGTCCAGGTCACCGCCAGCGCACGGACTGCTGGGAACAGGTAGCTACTTTAATGCCTCAAACTGACGACAGCAGCTTTAATAAAGCCCTGCGTTACAGTGATTTTACCACAAATAAAGGGTGTTTTTCTGCCTTTAAGAACAATTTAGCTGCAGTAAGAAGAACACCGTTACATGCAGCCTGTAACTTCCAAAAATTATAATAACATATGTGACCATGGAGCACAAAAGCAGTGTTAAGTCGCTGGGGTATATTTGTAGCAATAGCCAAAAAACATTGTATGGGTCAAAATTATCAATTTTTCTTTTATGCCAAAAATCATTAGGATATTAAGTACAGATCATGCTCCATTAAGATATTTTGTAAATTTCCTACCGTAAATATATCAAAACTTAATTTTCGATTATTAATATGCTTTGCTAAGAACTTCGTTTGGACAACTTTAAAGGCGATTTTCTCAACATTTAGATTTTTTTGCACCCTCAGATTCCAGATTTTCAAATAGGCTAGTTGTATCTCAAACAAATATTGTCCTATCATAACAAACCACACATCAATGAAAAATGCATGAATCTCAATAAAAAAAGACCCTTATGACTGGTTTTGTGGTCCAGAGTAACATATAATGCAATAGCCTATATAATAATATATAATTGCATAATAATAAGCATTTTGTGGTTGTTGCCACATTATAAAAGCAATAAGTCGGAGGTATTATTATTATAAACAACAAGAATAATAATAATAACTATTATCTATTAAACATTGGTGTCAGTTTATTATTATCGCTAACAACACCAACAACGACATGTTCATTATGATTCTAAACTATTCAATTATCATTATAAACTATTGAGCATAACTACTGAATAGGCTAACTATTCATTATTATACAGTGGTGGCCAAAATTATTAGAACACCTGACAGATCTGAAAATATTGACCTTTTTTGCCTCCAAAACATGATTTCATTTCATAATGTTCACGAAACATGCAGATGGTTGCTCTGAGCACAACAAATATCAGATGAAGCGAGTCGTACAGTTTTTATCCATGACTTTCAGATCATTTTCAACGTTCCAGCAGATTCCTTCCATCGCAGGAGGTTCCGGCAATAGTTCATTTTATGGGTATTGTAATGCAGCAAAAAAAACCTGAAACCTCTTAAATATGCCTTGGCCAACACTGTACATTATTATTATAACATAACTATTGAATAATAATAATCATATGAATAATTATTGTTAGTTATTATTATAAACAAACGATTGAACATTGGTGTTTTACAGCATATTGCAGCTGTTGTCACTGTATAAAGCAACATTAAGATAGAATTAGAATTATACATAGAATAGTATTTATAATCTATTGAACATTGTGAATATTTTGAACATTATAACCACTATACAAAAGCAAGTATAATAATAATAATAATCATAATTATTATAATCTATTGAACATTGGTGTATATATTGAACATTCTATATATTGAACAATTATTATTAACTATTGAGTATTGGTGTCTATAAGTGCCTTACTATTGAACAAAACTATCAAATGTAATTACTAAATAATAATAATAATAATAATAATGACAGGAACAGGAAATATTATGTGCATTAACCCTAAAATCAGCACAGCTGTAATGTGTCAAATGTGCTAATCACGACTATTATATTAATGTAATTCATTATTATTATTATCATCAAATATTATTATCAAAGCGCTGCAGTGTGGACGCTTAACGTAGTCAGCAGACCTGAGCGGTGCGTGAATAATAAAAGGAAATAAAACACAGGCTGTCAGATCGCTTCAGCTCCATAAATCTCTGTCCATCTCCTGCGAGAAAAGCTCTGGGATTTCACATGGGCGAATTTACGAGGATCTACACATCAATACGTCGAGCTTACGCCGAACACCTTGAAATATCATACAGGGTTTTACTGTGGGACGTTTATAAGGTGCTGACAGAAAAATGTGAACACATTAAAGGCATTTGGGACGGGACATCAGTATTATCTGTTTAAATGCAACAGGTCACTACATGAAGACATCAGACTGGATTAAACTAAAGCAGAGCCGATGACAGACGAGTGAACAGGCCTGAATGGAAATGAAACCTCACCCGCAGCTTTCCTCCGTTCTCCTCATGATGAGCCAGGACAGAATCTGATGTTCGCAATGAAGCACCAGCATGCTGCCTACTTAAAGATAATGAATAAAAAAAATCATTCATTAAAATGAACCAAAATTAAAATTATAAAAAGTAAATAAACAAATAAATAGATTCACAGTGAATAGATTCAATGACCATCATTTCCGTTCATAAGCAATTTTGTTAAATTAATACAGAGTCTTCTAATAAGTAATTTAAAAACATTCTATAGGAAAGGGGAAATTAGCTCATTTAAATATTTAAATATGCAAAATGTAAAAGTTAATTTAAGAAATATAGTAAGATAGCCTTTTAAACCGAGTTGTGACTAAAAAATGATTAATTACTTAAAAGTTATATAAATAAGACAATACAGTTGAATTGCTAGGACTTTAAGAAAGGGAAAATGAATTTGCTAAATATTTACATTTGTAAAAATGTAAATATGGTAAGAAAAATGTCACATCACATTGCATGTATAATGAAGTGAGTGGCGTTATCATCATCTTGGTTTGCACAAATTCTGGGTCATTTGTCACATTGAAAATGGGAAGTCAAGTGGGACATTGCATGTCACACAGCGCTCTATGTTATTATTTAACAAGCCCAGATGTTATACTGATAATACAGAATCCAGTGCATACTAGTTTCTTTCAAAAACACTGCAATTGTGCACAGAATCAGTCTGTGCAGTGCGGCAGCACAAATCAAAGTTAAGAGAAGC